GGAGGTCCTTGTTTTAATTATGCTAAGTCTATCTCGCCTTCTTCGACCTCTATAGGATCGCTAGATGTCTCTGGATCGTCATCATCCATTTCGACATAGGCTACTCTTTCTCTTCGATGAGTTTTGGTAGCTTTAGTTTTTTCGGCTTTAAGGTGTTCTACCTGTCGAACTCTATCGGCCAGTTGGGCCATGTCTCTCAAGTATTGGGTATCTAACTTTTTCCTAATTGAATAATCCAGGCCCCTACTGCCATTTCGACCAATTCATGTTCAGGCACTTGGGTAAAGCATCTGGCTTTAAGTAATCGAAACCTATTTAGATACTCATCTATTGGCTCAGTGAATCTTCTTTTCACACTAGCCAATTCTTTTAGACTTATTTTGGTCCGTCCCATGTAAAATTGTTCATGGAACAATCTTTCCAATTGATTCTAATTGTGGATCGAATTGGCTGGGAGGGTAGTGAACCAAGTAAAAGCATTATTTTTTAGAGAACTTGGGAAATATTTAATCCTAAGGTTTTCGTTGTTTGTTATTTCCCCAACCTCTATCAAATATCTCGCCACATGTTCGACAGTAGATTTTGTCGTATCCCCTGATAACTTGGTAAACTTGGGGACTTTTCCCCTAGGGGGTAAGTCTGTTTGTAGAATATATTCTGATAATGGGGATGTGAAGTTTGTTCTGTGAAAACCAACGTTCATCCCATTTTGAATCATAATCCTTTCGATCATGGAAGTCAGATTATTGTCTGTTCCATAATTTTGGTGTCGAACTTGCTGTATCAATTCATCAGCATTTTGGTTCCTATTCACCATAATCACTCCCTAATCGATTTCTCTAGGGATTGGGGGATTTCGAGGTATTTCGACCCTAGGTTGTTCTATTTCTACTCTAGGGATCTGAGGATTTTGATTAACAGTCAAATCCTCTTCCACGATTACCCCTTGGTTTACTCTTATTGGTATTCTTTGGGGTTGTCGAATAGTTTGGGGTACCCCAAAGAATTCAGCCATGCGCGTCATTTGCGCTGCCATTTGTTGATTCGACTGGATGGTATTTTGAATTAGGGGGTTCAACACTGTACTTAAAGTTTGTGCCAACATTTGCACTATATCATGGTTGCTTTCGTCCATCTGTTGCCTCAAAATTGCTGTAGAAGCATTTGTGAGGCTTGGTATTGAATTTGATGGTCCTCCTAAAATCTAGTTTCTACCCAAATTTGCCATACTGGCTCCAGATCCCTGTAATGGCGATGATGCACTCACTAAAGGTTCTGAAAAAGTAGACGCAATGTTCATAAGGCTAGCCATTTCAGTGGTTGGCATGCCATATGGTTGTTCTCGACCCATCCAGGCTGTCGAGAATCCTAGGGGAATATATGGTCGAGATCCTGGATTTTCCCTTGGTGGGGGCGTTCCTAAAGGACCTCTAGGACCCACATACGAAAGTAAGGATCCTGTTTGATTTGTGGTTAACGTTGGTATTGAACCAACAACAGTTGGAATATTTTCTCCAATGATAGTCATAACCGCTGTTCCAATAGTATTTGGTGGAGGTATTTCTCCATGATTTGGCTCATTAGCCATTCTACTTTCGCTATTTCTCTTCCTAACAGTACACTCGTTGGTTATTCTACCACTTCTTAATAATATGCAACGTTGTATACTTATAAAAGAAAAGAAATAACATGAACAAATAGACGATAAAAACTAGCAACGTCCCACCGGGTGTGCCAATTTATTTACCATGGTTTTTGATAAACAACCGTTGATCCTCCAAAAAGGAAATTCCTTTTGGTTACTCTCGAAATCGGTCAGATTGATCCTAGAACATATGTTAATTTTTATGTTGGTTTGATGTGAAAATAGATGTCTAGGAAGAACGCATATTTGACCAAAGATAAGATGCTTGTGTTTTTAGAAAGTAGGAAAGTTAATAGAAATGCAGGTAAAGATGCAGGAAGATTAACTTTGCAAAATAAGATCAAAGAAATGCAAAAAAGACTTTATTAATGAAAAGTGGTGTTTCCAATGTACATTTCTCAGTTTATCCTTTCACACACAGCGGGTACTTGAACAATATTTGAGTAACTAGCACAATAGGTTGAACACACGGAAAAACTACATAAACTTCCTATTTTATACTAAAACTACGTAACCGTCGAGGGGTGGCTTTTCTCTAAGATGAAGACAAGTGTCCTCTGCATGTCCCTCGACCTCTCTCTTCCAGCCACGTCGCTTTCCTTTAAATGTTGGCAAAACCGTCTTTCCCTCCAACAATTCAAATTCAAATATCCTTCGTCTTTGGTATTGACACGAAGGTATGTTCTTCTAGTCGAAGGTCATAGGACCTTCTTAGTCGAAATCTTGATGGTGATGCCTGATCGAAGACCAATGTGTAACTCAAATATTTTCTCTAAGATTTTTCCATCTGTCGAAATATTTTCCAGCTTGGCTTTATTTGTTCTATTTTTGACCTATAAGGCCAATATATAGTAGGTGTCAAATTTAGGAGCCAACACACATCCTGTTATTTGGGTCTTTTTTTCAACTGTTTTTAATTCAGAAGTTTCCCTTTTTACCACAAAATTTACACAACTATAAATACATCATACATACTTCATTTCAACTTGATAAAAATATAAACACTTATCACCATTGCTCTTCATCTTTAACATCCAACTTATGCATACACCTAACAAACTGCACATAATCTTTTTTTGTTGGGGTGTCATCTAGACGAGGTTTGATAACGTCCAATTAGATTTGTGTAACCGAGAATATTGGGTTGAGAATTGTGGGAGATTTTATCCGGAAAAACCTAGGATTTGTTCTCCAAGATCTTTAATAGATTTGAGGGTTTTGTTTAAGATTTCACAATATTGGATTTAGCCGAGTGAAAGCTTTGAAGATTTAGTATCTTGAAAAGGAGTGGCATGAGATGGTGGATCGTATTGGATGCTCTTGTGGTCAATAGTTTGCAATTGGATTTGATCGAGTGAAAGCTTTGGAGGTTGGGTATCTCACAAAGGAGTAGCGTGAAACGGTGAATCATTTGGATCTATTGTGTCTTGGTCTCGCCCAAGATCAGAAGAAGAGAAGGGTTTGAATCAACATCAAACAGTTAGAATTTGTAGAGTTTCTCTTAAAACATTTATCTTGTAATCAACTTTTTGAAAAGTAAGATAAATATCTCAATTTCAATTGAAGTTAGGGACAGATGTAGTCATAACGAGGACGTATTGGTGAGTTGTCTAAACAAATCCTTCTCTCTCTCTCTCTCTCTCTCTCATTTACTTACTATATGCAATTTGTTAAACTTGTTGTTTGATCCATCGATATGTATAAAAATTTTCTTTGATTGTTAGTTTAAATTGCTTTGTTGATTGGCTTATAATCACTTAAATTGCAAGTGTTTTCTCACATCAACAAAGCTCAAAAAAAATCTGAAAAATCGATCATGCGCTAAGTGTTCGATAAATTGCCAAATTTTGTTTTATACACAATTTCATTGGAAATAGTTAACTATTATGATTTGTGATAAACGATTAATTGAGATATAATTGTATTGATTGTTTTTATCATTGTTTTAATTCCATACGGACTTCGCATATCAGAGTTTCTAATAACAAGATTCGTTTAGATGACTTTTTTCGATTTAAGCTAAAAATCTTCCGCTTAACATTGTCTTTTAAAATAAACTTTAATTACCTATTTTTGAAAGGTAATTTTTACTTGGGTATCTATTCAACCACCTCTCTCCCCTCCTCTAGATAAGTCATTGTCGTCTAACAATAACTTTCCTTGAATTTGAAAGGTTTATTGAAGTCACAAATAGTTTAATGGTTATCGGTAGGGTTACATGAAAAAACGAAACATCTTGTTGATTTTGAATTTGGAAAACTTTGAAAAAAAATTTCTATGCCTTCAGAAAAGTTACTCTTTGAGTCGCGTCCAAGATCCTTTTCTTTAATACATTTCGTGATAGTGTCCAAAATTATATAACCAAACTATCAACCACAAAGTATCCAACAAATAGTTACATTGCACAATATTGTATTGTACTTTAGGTACATTTCTAGAATACACTCTCAAATATCCTTCGCAATAAATTCTTCGACGGGGATAAATTTTTTCAAAAACTAACTAATCTCTATAGATATTTCTCTTAAGAAAACTTTTCTTCAAAGAAAAATATTTTTGAAGAGAACAACGAAATGTTCAGAAAGTTTAATGAGTAGAAATATTTCCTTATTATATTAATATTTTATCCTTCTCTACCGCCTTTATGAGCTAGCGAGTTATTATGGAAATCATATGAAATAAAAAAAAAGTTTCAAAGTCTCAAATTTGAACGAATCTTGAAGTGTCTGTCTGAAATTTTAATGACATATGCATCATCGTTAAAACATTTCAAACGGACACTTAAATGAGTGGCAATTAAAGGATTAGAACAAGAGTTCTTATCTAAAACACGTGGAAAATTGTGTCATGGACCACATGGCAAACTAGTCAAGTTTTCATGATTATAACCTCCACCATCAAAACACTCTGGCTTCCACCATCAATACACCTGTTCAATCCTTTACCACTAATAATGTTTAGAGTAAACTATGTGCAATCCTTCACAATTGGTATTATTTTCTTTTAGACAATGGATTATGTGGATGTCATTTTTAAGACTAGAAAATTTGGTTTTATGTTCCCAAGGTCTTCATGATTTACTTGTCCAAACATAGTTTTGGAGAAAGGATTGAAGAAAATTAGATTATTTTCATTGATTTGGAGAAGTTTTTTCGTTACTCCATAAGTGATAACTATAGGATTGCACCAAAGGTTAATTTGAAGTCGTTTCAATCCGCATACTGTCATATAAAGTTGAGCAATTTACAGAAAACAGTAAAACTGTACTGAATAACAGTATGAAATCCACACACACAAAATCCGCATATAAAACCAAATAGCCTAAATCATCTACATACTAATAACCCCGGAGAGCTTAATATCTCTTCCAATTGTCCTTCCTGTTATTCCTGAATGCACAGCAACCGATCGAGTATACAATGACCAGGAAAATCAGGAATATGATGTTGACAACGGCCACCTTCTTCCAATCAGTCTTGAGGTTTTGCAGTAACCCGGCCTTGCAAGATTGGCAATCGAAACACAGAATCTTTGGATCGTTATTCCAAGCTTTACAGTCAAGGTTGGTAGAATTAACAGTTCCGGGAGTCCAGTTTGTTGGGCTCACATATGTAAAACCACAGTCCTCTGAAGGCTTACAGCATCCAGACTGCACAAAACATCAGAAAAATGGAAATCAATACAGCGTCAAAAGTTCACAAACCTCAACATGTAGATAAAAGTTGGATATAGTAACACAGTAAATACATAAACATTCTATAATCATGTTTTGAAATCAAGGAATCACAATAGAAGTTCTAAAGAATGAATTTCAATCCTAGGAACAAATTTATCCGCCCCAGAAAAATGAGCAAATGCAGAACACCTCTGCCTTAACCACAGAGGAATGAGGTTTGAGTCATTTAATAACTTAAACTCAACATGATTCTATCCTTAAAATCTCACATTAACCTGTCTTGTGAAATTTGTGTCTTGTGCAAGGATCTATCAGGCTTTGCACCTCTGAGGCACGTGGGTACTTCTAAAATCGTGAAGTACCGGTACTGGATACACGGACCATACTCATGGCTCCTCATTTTTTCTCATTATTCTTTTTTAAGTGAAAATTTTAATTTTTCATGTATTAAAATAATAGATTTATGTATTTTAGTTTATTTAAAAAAATGCTGTATCCCGGACCACATACCGTACCCATACCTAAGCATCATAGCAAACTCATGACTAAATACAGGCCTAGGAAAAGAAACATTCACTTTTTGTTATATGTAAATGTCTGTGAAGAAAGAATAGAAAATTTTGATCACTAGATAACACCAATAATGTGAAGCAAAATATATTAAAGTTTGGAAAAGCTACAAGGAACCAGTGCTTCTTAGTCATTGGAAAAAAAGTGCACATTAAAAAGGTAATCAACTTTTAACCCAATAGCACTAGAATCCAGTAAGGGGAAAAAACTAGTAACAAAAAAGGATGCAAAAATGTTCAACAAAAGATGCATTTTAAATCTGTTTCCATAAAGAACACAACCCTTTTCAAAAGAAAAGCAATCCCAGTTAAAAAAATAAGAAAAAGTCTACCCTTTTCAGAAAGAAACCATAACTATTTCAGAAATCCCAGTTCAAAAATCCACTTTTCAGAAAGATACCTTGAAATTGAATACTCAGGCAAAAGTATAAAGTAGCACTACCTTATAAACTAAATCTAATTTATTTAATCCTAAAACAAACACATGAATGCATTACAGTACTATTATAACGTGAAATCTCTGCATGCTCACATATTCAGAAACTTCCTAATCACTTTTTTCTTCATTATCATAATTTCTAGACATAAAGTTTCTCTGAAAAAGGTCTGTTAGTGAATGTGTCAGTGATTGAATATCCAACACCGACACCGATATTTATGATTACATTTAATTTTTTTTTATTGTTATCGGTGTTAACGAGTCAGTGTCAATTATCCTTCGGAGTCCATAACTCACATCATGAACACAAATTCAAACTACAAAACCCTAAATATAAAATCACATGCAAGCTAAAATTTTGATCCCAGCCCAGAAAATCACCAATCATCAAGAACAGAAATCCAATTCAATTCAATAAAAAAAAAAGATAAAAACCCTAACCTGAAGAGCAGACAACTTCTCAGTATGAAATTGTTCAACACTATCTTTCCCAAACTTGGCTTGAAAATCGTCACAAACCTTCCCGGACACCAAACAGCTTCTAATCCTCTTCCAATTACCCCCATCCGTAACCTTATTCTGCAACCAATTCGAATAATCCCCAAGCTTATACTCCTTATACCCACGATTCGACACCGCTTCACCCGCCCCTTTATTAGTAACAACAAAGGCAAAGATAGTGAAAGCGAAAACAAGAACGATGAGTAAGAACATGACGAGGAGGTAGAACCAGAGAAGCCACGAAACTCTGCAACAAGCACCGATTAATCCCATGAGAGAAACCACCAAGAGGAAAACGCCGAGCGCGATGATTGGCTTCTCGAGGAAGCGTTCGCATTCGGTGGTGGATTGTTTGTGGAGCCATACGCCCATGACGAGGATCGGGATTGAGAGGAGCAGGGTTAGGAAGTTGAGGAGTCCGATTAGGTTGTTGCTGAATCGAGACATGGTTGAATGTTGATTCAAGAACGAGATTTAGGGTTTGTTTTTATAGTCGAAATAATTGAAATGGTTGTTTTGATTGTTGAGAAATACAGGGAAGATGAGGTGACACAAGAATAATTAGTGATAGGAATGAATTAATTTTACACGCTATTGGTTTTTAGCTTCGACGCGTTTTTTTTTTGTTGGTTTTTGAAACGGCTTGTTTTCTATTTTGTGGAATTTTCTAGATTTTTTTTTTTTAGGGAAAGAAAAGTGGCTAAGACTGCCGTCCAACTTTATTGATTAAAAGTGAAACATATTTCTCAAGTAATGATAAGAAAAATTATAATTTGTCATGCCAAGTTTATAGAAAAATAGGTATTAGATTCCAAAAAGTGAAACTATTGATGGCTAGTTCTACATTTGGAAGAATATTACCAGAAACATTCTCTTCCATGGAGTAGTAGAAAGTTATCTCATATGATTCTTGAGAATTAAGGTATACTGAAATTAGACTTGAAAGTTTACAATGTGTTTATTGATATTTTTGAGAGTTTTGAGAAGAGTGTAATAGTGCTTTAGTTTTTTAAATAGTTTGGGTGAAATGTTTTGAGAAGATGTGATAGTGTTGTAAGATTTTTTAATGCAAAAAATAAAAAATTAAAGAATTTGAGCAAATGCTCTTAAATTAAGAGAAGAAAAAAAAATACAAAAGTGTTTAAATTAAAGAAGAGAGACCTAAGTTCATATATTTTTCACGAATTCAAGATTTTAGTAAATTAAATATTGTTAGAATTAAAGTTTGGTTCAAATCTATAAAATCGGTTTGTAGGGTGAGGATTGTCCCCACTTATAAGTGTTGGAAATCTATCAAAATCTATGATGAATTTTTAACAATCTTGATGAACAAGATTGTTATTACAACACAATGACAATGAAAAAAATATGAAAGAAAGAAAATGAGACAATGATTTTCTGCAGAGTCTCTCTATGCCCACAAACTGTGAAAAACTTCTTATTCACTTGCAACTACAAATTATGTGAATACAACTTAATTACAAAAATAGGGGTTACTCCCACTATTTATAGATTTAGGTTAGGTTGCTCTCTAAGCTAAAGTCCAAAACTAGAAAAGCCCAAAATATCTATTTTGGAATTAAATCAAATCTATTTATTTTAGACATAAATCAAATCAATCTATTTTAGATCTAAATCAAATATGTGTGTAACAAAATCTTTCCGCACTTCGACACAATCTTTTTGACACTTCTTTATTTTCTGTCGAGCAACCTGCTTCGACACAAGGAATTATACTTTCAACACACCACATAATTCATTATGTTTAAGCTATTTATATTCATCATAGCTTTTAGTCTTCTGAATACTTCGACTTCCACATCCTTCATCGTGATATCTACAATCTGATTCTCAGTTCTGCAGTGTTCCAAGTTCATCTTTCCATTTTCTATCTGCTCTCGAAGATAGTGGAACCTCATTTCAATGTGTTTGCTTCGACCATGAGCTATCGTATTCTTCGTCGGGTTGATAGCTGACATGTTGTTGATCTTCATGGTAATTCCTTCATGATCTTTTCTTGTGATTTCTTTGACCAAGTTCATCATCCATATTGCTTGACATGCACAAAGAGAAACAACTATGTACTCAGCTTCACACCATGATAATGACACTATTGGTTCCTTTCTCGATCTCCAAGCAACTAGTACACCACCTAGCATAAACATATATCTTGTTGTTGATTTTCGATCATCAGCATCACTACACCAACTTGAATCAATGTATCCCACCATCTTGCATTAATTTCCTTTATCAGTTACAAGAAATAAAATGACATAGTCAAGAGTTCCTTTGAGATACCTCAATACCCTCTTCGCCGCTGCTAGGTGTGATACCTTTGGCTTATGCATGAATCTACTTACCATACCTACACTGTATGCTAATTCAGGCCTTGTGTGACAAATGTACCTTAGGGACCCAATAAGTCTTTTGTATTGGGTTGGATCGACATCATATTCTTCTGAATATTTCGACAGTTGCAACCTTGGTTCAGGAGGTGTCGATGTCGAGTTGCATTCTTTCATCTCAAATCTCTTGAGAATTTATCCTGTATATCTTCTTTGATGCATCATCAAACCTCTACTACTCTTGTATAATTTGATACCAAGGAAATACAAAATGTCACCCAGATCAAACATTTCAAATTCCTTGCTGAGATCACCTTTGAAGTATTCGATCTCATTCTTGCATCTATCTATTATTAATAAGTCATCGACATAGAGACATAGTATAAGAAATTCATTATTTCTTGTTCTTACATATACTCCATGTTAAGTTGTGCACTTCACAAATTCCTTCTCCCTTAGAAAACTATCAATCTTCTTATTTCAAGCTCTTGGAGCTTTTTTGAGTCCATACAAGGCTTTATGCAACTTGTATATCTTTCTCTCTTTGCCATGCTTCACAAACCCAACTGGTTGTTCAACATAGACTTTTTCGTCTAAGGACTCATTCAGGAATGCACACTTTACGTCCATATGATATATGTGCGAACTATTCATTTCTCTTAGACCAATAACCAACTTGATTGTTTTGATTCTAGAAACAAGTGCAAATACTTCTTCGAAGTTAATTCCTTCCTTCTGAAGAAATCCTTTCGCCACAAGTCTTTCTTTGTATCGAGTTACCTCTCTTTTGGGATTCAACTTTAACTTGTATACCCACTTGACATCAATTACCTCCTTGCCTTAAGGAGACTCGACAAGTGACCAAGTGTTGTTGTCTTCGATGGACTTCACTTCTTCATTCATTGCTTTCACCCACTTTGAATCTTTCAATGTTTCAGTTGCATTGACAGGTTTGACATCTGCATAGAAAGCATAATGTATCAGCCCACCTTTATTATCGACCACATCATCTGATGTAATCACACACTCTTACAACCCTGCAGGCATGTGTCTTGTTCTCTAAGGTCTGTTTGGTCCTTGTTGATCTATAATTGTTGGTTCCTCTTGTCGAACTTCTCTTTTTACTTCAGCTGTTGGTTCTTCTAATAAGATTCTTACTGAATCTTTCTTGACATTTTATGTCCAATGCCATTCCTTAAGCTCGTCTATGATCATATCCTTATTGATCATAATTTGCCTGTTCACTGGCTCGAATAACTTGTAACCTCATGTCGAATGATATCCTACTAGGATGATCTGACTCGACTTATCATCAAATTTTCTTCTCAACTGATTTGGCATAAGTCTATATACAATAGATCCAAATACCTTTAGATGACTCAAGTTAGGCTTCACACCAGACCAACATTCTTCTAGAGTAATTCCTTCTAGCTTCTTCGTCGGACATCTGTCTAAAATGTATGTTGCAGTCGGCACAGCTTCACCCCAAAACTCTTTGGGTAAATTCTTGACTTTCAACATTCTTCTCACCATATTCATGATGGTTCGGTTATTCCTTTATGCAATTCTATTCTACTGTGGAGTGTAGGGTGGCACCACCTCATGCACAATCCCTTTTTTCACATTATTTGTCAAAGTCTTTCGACACATACTCTCCACCACCATCAGTTTTCAAAACTTTGAGCTTTCGACCACTTTGTCTTTCGACCATAAACTTAAACTTGGCAAATACCTCGATTACTTCACTTTTCTTCTTGATCAGGTAAGTCCATATTTTTCGACTAAAATCATCCATGAATGTAACAAAGTATTTGTTACCTCTATTTGAATCCACCTGAATTGGTCCACATACATCAGAGTATTTGACTTCAAGAATAGCCTTCGACTTGCTTCCTGCATCCTTTCTGAAGTTGTTCTTGTGTTGCTTTGCCTACACACATTCCTCACATACCTCGTTTGGAATGTCAATTTCTGGAAACCCTGAAACCATTTTTATTCTTTTCAAATCTCTGATGTCTCTGAAGTTCAGATGGCCTAGTCGATAGTGCCATATCCATTTATCTCTACTAGCTGCAGTCAAAAGTCACTTGTGCTCCATCATATTAAGTTCAATCTTGAAGGTTCTATTTTGAGACATGGGAGCCTTTAAGATTAAGCTTCCATTTGCATCGACGACTCTCATCATCTTGTCTTTGATCCACACTTTGTAGTTATTTTCGACCAACTGCACTATACTAAGAAAATTGATCTTCTTGCCTGGTACGTACAACAAATTATAAATTACTGATCTCCTGCCATCTTTCCTCATAATCATAAAATCACTAATACCTTCAGCTGCTAGGGTATTTTGATTTGTGAATTTCAATGTGCTCTTCATCGAAGGTTTTATGTTGACAAACCAATCTTTCCTTCCAGACATATGTGATGAGCATCCTGAACCCAAATACCATTGGTCCTTAAATATTTATTCATCCCTTGTTGTAACCATCGGCAACATATCTTCTTCTTCATACTTTGCAAACTTCACATCACTTTCTTGATTCTTTCACTTTTTTGGACAATCACTAGAATAGTGACCATACTTCTGACAATTGTAACATTGAATGTGACTCTTGTCATATTTTAGACTACCTTCCTCTATTTGCAAAACTACCTCTTTGGTTGCCTTGGTATGGTCTTCTTTGATTCAACACGTTTTCTTCGTGCTGGTTTCTTCTACCAATCGAATTGTTGTAGCCACCTTTACCTTTGTTGTCGAACCACTTTCCTTTTCCTTTCTCATCTTTTGTTGATTGAGTCTGCAGAGCCACATCACTCTTCAACTTACTTGTAGCTCTTTCAGCCATTCTTTGTTCATGAGATTCAAGCGTCCCTTGAAGCTCTTCTTTTGACAAAGTTGACATATCTTTCGACTCTTCTATGGCAACTATCACATGATAGAACTTCATAGCCAAAGATCTCAAGATCTTCGAAACAACTGCTCTTGTTGTTAACGTCTCTCCATGAGTCTCGATTTGATTCACTAGTGAAGAAATCAGACATGCTTTCGCTATCTTCCATCTGAAGCAACTCATATGTTCTTTTGTGAGTTTGTAACCTCAC